GGGGTTGCGGGGCCGGTGGCGGGCCTGCGGGGTTAGGCGGCGGGGTACCCGGGGCTGGGCGGCGGCGGGGGTCGTCCGGCGGTGGCGGGGTTGGATGAACCCCGCGGCGGGGGTCTGGGGTCCGCAGCCTAACACCGGCTTTGCCCCCGGGGTTCCCCGCTCGACAACGCTGTTCACAGCACACTTCGTGACGTACCCAGCGAACGGGATTTCCCCGCCAGCTCCCCGGATGCTCCCTGTTACTTCCTTGTTTACCGTACATCCCGTGATCACTGCGAAATGTCTCCTTATGAGAGTGATTTCTGCTCCTCCGTCTACTAATGCGTCGGTGTGATGACTCCCGATCTGGGTTTTCAATTTCCCTACGGGTAGCGCATGAAAGCTAAGCTTCGTTCCGGGTGGTGATCTCATGACTTCATCGCCCTTTCGGTCGGGCAAGCTCAAACGAATGTCTGCAAAGGTCTTTTCGAGATCCTCCAAGTCCCCGTGACTCCTCTGAAGGTTAGCCACTTCTTGCGGAGCTTCCTCCTCCCTCTCCCCTTCTGGTAATTCGGGGTTGTCGCCTATTTCTACTCGCCTCCGAGTCAATAGTTGTCTGAGCCCTTTGAGCAACCTAGGGCTAGCCTGCAGCATGGTCTGAAAAGACACCGACACCATGGTTTCTAGTAACTTGCTAATAGTGTCGTCGAGCTCAGGCAAGGTTAAAATCGGGATTTGATACCGAAACTTCTTCTTAGCGGCGATAACTTTGTCTGCAAGCTCCTCTTCCCTAGGCTTCCTATAGACTTTCTCTGGTTCCTCGGCCTCAGGCTCTACCTGGGGTTCCGAGCTTCCGGCAACCTCCTCCATAATGGTGTCGCGGTTAATCCTTCTCCCGGCCGTTCCTAGTCGAGTGGTTGCGTTCACCCTATCACGTCCGTCACTTTCCAAAATAAAGTTGGCCTACAGCCCGCGCCCCCGGAGTTGATCCCATACGATCTCGCCCCCCGGTTCGGCTTCTACGGCTGTTATTTCTAACCCGTTGAGCATGATAATGACTCGCCACATCCCTCCTGGCGAGTTCCAGTTCACCCGTTCCCCTTGTGGTCTAAATATCTCCCCCTTTAATGACCTGATACACCTTCTTTTTAGAATATCATGGTTGAGCTTTGGGCACGCACGCACATAATGTCCTATCGCGGTACAGTACTTGCATTGCTCGTTAGCAGGGTCTCTTCGTCCGAATCCCCGGTTTGCTATACCTGGCGGAACCACAGCTTCCTGGGAGGGAGGGCAGGTCGGGATACTTGCGCCTGCATAACCAGTAGCGTGCCTTCCATCCTTTCAATCTTATTGTCGACCCCATGCACCCGTTCATGTTGACTTTCAATCCCCTTCTTTACCTTGTCGCCCGTCCTACCGGTCAAATCTATGACCTCTCCTTCCTTGAGCAAGGCCAACGTCTCCGTTACTACCGTTTTCTCAGCCAGATTCGTTACCATGTTAAAATCAACATCCCGCGTGCTTACGAACTTGCTCGTCTGTTGGTAAGCTGACAGGATCTTGTCTTTGTCGAACTCAGAGAACTGCCTTAGGAAATATTTGCTCATTATTCGGTCCGTGACCCCGGGGATCCTTAGTGCTACTAGAGTAAATTCCCATAGGAAATCATTATACGTTGCGAAATTCTTCCTCTAAACTGCCGCTAGGTCGGCCTCCGTTGCCATTTTCTCTGCCGCTAGGTACTTCCTTATCATCACATCCCGTGTCTCCTTCCAAGACCGGCTTGTGGCTACAATAGCCATTATGTCCCGTCCTAGGCTTAACGACACATGCTGTCCTAAATGGTCCATATTTTCCTCCTCGGTCCACTTTAGTAACGCAGCTAGGTTCTCGTAGTCGATCAGAAACTCCGTGATGTTTGCTCCATCGAAAGTCAGCTTCTTCTTGGCGTCTGCCAGATAGCCTTGATTTTTGTTTAGTGCTCGCACGAGGGACGACACTATCTTCTTAAGGCCGCCCTCGGAGCTGCTGGTCTCGCCTGCCATACTGTTATCTGGACTTTCCTTGTCGGCCTTCTGTCCCTCCCTGGTTTTCATAGTTCCTTCCGGGTCAAACCATCCCAACATTCTTTCCCTAAGGCTCCAAAGTCTTTCGCATCCTCGTGCTACTGCTGGCGTGATCGGCAGGCGGCTAGCCCTACTATCCATGGCTGGTGCAGTCATAGGCTTTTCTGCTTCCATCCCCGGAGAGTTCTCTCTTTCTTTCCTTCTCTTGCTCGACGTTTCTCCACGGTCACTACTTTTATCCCCGTGTCCAGTCCCGTCTTGGCTGGCTTTCCGTTCGTCCCAGGGTTCCTCCTGCAGAGGACCTTCTTCGTTCCCAGTCATCATTTCCTCAATCAATCTTGCCTTGTATTTCGCGGTCCTCTTGTCTATCTCGGCTAGTTTGCGCCTCGTGTCCCCGACCCTTACTTTCTTAGGCATGGCTCCTTTCGAGTTTTGGGGGCTTGTCCTATCCTTATTTCTACCTTCCTTGGTCCCCTGAGTCCCTTGCCTGCTTCCCCCAGCTTTCCCCGAGCTCTTTCCTGTGGAGATTTCCTTCCGGTTCCCTTTCGTACCATCCGGATTTATCAATTCTCTGTCCTTCTGACCCATTTCACTTTGTGCAGCACTGCCTTCTAAGCCTGGTTCTCCTTCACTCTTACGATTATCTGTCTCCTCCTCCGTTGCCATTTTGCCTAGTTCTGCATAAGCCAAAGAATTCCCAGGACACACGCAATGCGAGGTATTTAGGTTCTCTAGGCTCCCAACTCTGTTGGCTTACCTTTATAGCCTCCTTTCCTATCCCCGTTTCCTGATTGCCCTTCCTTGAGGAGGAGCCACGACTGGCCCTGCCGCCCAACCGAGTTGTGAACGTGACCGGGCTTCCTTTATCACAAGCTCGTTTGTAGTGCCCTTGTCCCGTCGGCCGACGCGAGGGAGCACGGGTTAGGCATCCTGCTAGGAGAAGTCTTCCCGAGCACCGTTTCCCGTTTTTGACCTTCAGGGTTATGGTMAATYMWTAKGRGKYCCCCCCCCCCCCCTTTCTTTGTTTTTCTAGTGGGTTTTAGCCATCCAGGTCCGAGGCCCCTTTCTTATTCCCATCGGCGAACTTCCGTGCGCAGCGAACTATACTCGATCTGCCCTATCGACCCGCCTGCGGATGCTAATCCCACTCTCGCCCTCGCGGCTCTTCTGGTTCGGTAGGCTCCTCGAGTAGTTGAGCCACCCCCGTTAGATAATTCTCCCCTATCTCGATTTCCCTTTGGATTATGCGTTCGCACCCCGTTCAGTCTAGCCAGGGTGCACAAAACATCAGGATGTGGATGACTTCTAGTAATTCGTGGGCCCTGTTTTCCCAGAACGGCCCATGCTCCACAGCGACATCGTAGAACATCCCAATGGTAGGGGAGGGAAAGTGGCCTGCCCAGACTATCGCTGAGTCTGCCAGCTCCCGCACCCTCACGAGGCTTCCGAAGACGAGGTCTATCATAAAACAGGGCACTCGGCATCTCAGCGGTGTGGTCGGTGCCCTGAACTCCCTCCAACCTCCCATTCCCACCCGGGTTAGCAAGCCCACGTTCCTTCTTCCCCTGACCGATTGTCCTATCCGGGTCAACGTTCGGGCGGCCCTTCGAAAGACCGGCGCCAACTCGTGACCTTGTGCTATCTCTACCCCCAACGAGTGTCAGCCGATCTCAGGCAAATACATGGTCCCGATAACTTCCAGATTAGAAAACAGATCGTCTCCGGGTCCTCGGTGGAGTCTCATCCCTGTCCACTGACATTCTATTAACATGAAGGCGGCGTCCCTTCCCAAAGTCATGGCCCGCCATTCTGTGTCGAACCCCCGATAGGTAGAACTCGACGGGAGGGATACTTCCCATCGTCCACCGTTTCCTGGGCGGTCCGGGGTACCAGGGCTGGCGTTTCATTCGCACACGGGGCTGGCGTTCCATTCGCTCATGTCTTTCTGCCATTGTTACCTTGGTGATTCTCTGCATAGTCCACATAGAAAGGGTTACAACCAATCTTCAGAATCCGCCCATCTACTGCCTCCCTTGCCCTTCGTGTTTTCACCTCTTCTCTAGTCCCAACTATCCTTCTATACCCCTGGGAGCAGTAGCTACCTCTGGTTGTTCGTACAACCGGTAGAGATCATCTATGTAGGTCGCGCTCCGGCCTACCTCTCGCTGGATGACTCTCCACATGGTCTCATCACTTATTTGTGGGACTCCTGGCCTAGTATTTACCGCTGCTCGTAGAATGCAAAGCACCTCGCGCCTTTGTTCGTCCCCGAAAGGCCCCATCTCTAGGAAGGCCCGATAGTATTATTGATACATTAGTGCTTCGTCAAAATTTAGCCTAGTTACTGCAGTCACCGCCTGCTCCACTCGTTCTATGCCTCCCATTTGTCTTAGCAGGAAGGGTGGTAGACTCATCCGTATGACCTCATTTAGCAGCTCGAAAACCCCACCGCGGCGACTTTTACCTCCGCCGTTACGTCATCTCGTTCCGGGTCTGCAAACTCAAACCCTTCCCGCCAGGTCATTTGTCATGCCCCTTCGAACATTCGCACGGGGTCATCCCTGGAAGCCAAGGCAATCCCAAAGGTCCGCCATCCCTCTTCCGACAGGTGTAAGGATCCCGTTGCATGTACACGCCCTGGGCGGTTCAAGTCTTCGCCCCCGAACTCCCCTCTCGCACGCCATTCCAGCTTTACTACTAGGTACACCGTATCTTCCACCAACTCTACCCCCACCCAGTCCATTACCGGATTACCTATCGCATTTCTTGCTGGCAGGCTTATTTCGACCCTGCCTTCTGATATTCTTGGTGGCAGGATCCCACGAGGTCTATCCTCCCAGAACGTCATTCGTCGGACCATCTCGCAATGTCTCCTTTCCCGCTTTCTTAGTCCGATTGTTGCACCGAGATTCCATGCCTTTCGCGTTGTAGTTCAACCCTCCCTACTGATCGTACACTGGTTCTTGCCGCTATCCTGTCTCCATGCCTGCCTTTTGTTTCGGCCTCCTTGCGTCCCCGTACATCCCCTTCTCTTGTGCTACATCCTAATTCACATGCACCCTCCACACTTCGTTCTTCCCATGGTGCTCGAACTTTGAGTCCCTTTAATCCAACCACCGCACCTCAAATAGCATAAAGACATCATCAACATAGGATGGCGCGGCCGCTGCCTCCCGGCTAACTATGGCGTCCCAAGTTTTCGCGCTTACCTCTAGGCGGTGGTATTTACCTATCCTCATGATGGTGATGACCTCACCGACTTTATCCCTGTAGAAGGGCCCATATTTCAATGAGAGCCTATAGAACTCCTTAGTCAGCCAGACACACTCTATATGCACGTTTCTCATGGAGTCGGCTACTTCCGAAATGTGTTCAAACCCTCCAAACCACTCGGCTATGAACTCCGGTACCCAAGCCGTTATCCGTAGACTTGGCGGGTTAAGTTCCTTCCATCCTCCCATCACAACTCTGCTACTAACTTCGTCTCATCCCTCGTTGCCGAACCGCTTGCCTTTTTTTCGGGTTCGGGCCTCTGCATCCCCTAGAAGCCACGTCGGGTCCTGTCTCATTGCTAACATAGTGCAAAACAGGTGTCACCCTTCCTCGGAAAGGACAATCGTTCCAACTGACTCTACCTTGCCTTCTGCTATATCATCCCAACCTTCCTCTTCCCTTATCAGGTTCCAAATCCGCTCTATCCATACATATGACAAGTCCCGGGCAACCTCAAAACCAATCCAGTCGCACGTGGTCCCACTACTGGGAGAAGATGTAGGGGATAGAGGAAGCATGAGGCGACCAGTAAGAACCATGCGATGTGTGCTGCCCTCCTTCCTAGCGGATGCGGTTTTCGGAACCCGGAGCAGGCTAGTGCGAATATGTCAGTCCATGACGAACCTCGGGCT